CACCATGGAGTGAATCCTTACCACCGCTACACCTAGCTTTCAGCGGAGCCTTGTCTGGCAGCGAAACAGTTCACTCAGCCTCATTTACTGCCTCATAAAAAACATTTCTCCAAAACAGGCTATAGGCTACATGTGCACCACCAAGTCAGAACAGTAGGCTAAATTATAAGGGGGAAAGTGACCAAATTATTAGGGTGAAGCACATGGGCTACTAACAGCTTACTACACAACATACACATAATATTACTTTCTTAGCTATAGTATACATATCTACTTGGCATATTATATAATTTATGCAGCAGCATACAATACATTTTTGGACACACCATGTTGTGCTGTGCTCACTTGAACAGGAAGGTGGTGCGGCAGTCCTTCTTGTGGGCAAATTTTGTCATCAAACTTTGTCATCGAAGTCTGGCATTCTCTGGATTTATGGTGCTTTCAAGACAACTGGGAACTCTGAAAAAAAACAAGGGTCGAATCATGACGTCAGTGATCTTCAGGTCGGAGTTGAAGAAAGAGGCCAGAGTTCCCGACTTGGAATTCTGAGTTGGATGACCGTTCAAAGTGTATTTTCCCAGTCGGAGCGCGGTTTCTTCCGAGTTCCCAGTTGTCTTGAACTAACTGAAGTCTGAGATTTCCCAGTTCCGAGATTCCAGTTGTTGTGATCTCGGCAGAAGTCATGCTGGATTGACAGCATGGCCAATGTATTCAAACTTTTCTGGCCCATGGTGTTGAATGTTGAATGTTTATGCTTTTAAGCTTGGAAAATAGACCCTTAAAACCAGACTTGGACCATACACCCTCTCCACTGAATGGCAGGCTAGTGATTGCTTTGCAACACTTGCAATTAGCCACTGATTCCTTCCAAACCACTCATTGTTGAATTTGCGATTTCCAACTTGTTGTGTAATGTTTATGTCCAATGGCCGATGAGCACCGATACATTTTATCTATAATTTCTCTTCATATGACAAGAATTGAAAAGGATTTGCCAGTAGACTGTCGACTTGATTCATGATGATGACTGTTTGTGTAGCTTGCTAGATAAGATTTTGAAAGTATTATGTTGACATAATCAGTCCAATCAAAGCTACGGTAGATTTAACGTGATTTGACGTCATTTTATCTGTGGCCAATGACCTTGAGCCTTCATGGATGGGCACTTCTAATGTAACTCTATGGCAGCATCCAAGGGGCTTGAATTTCCGAGCTCTCCCCGTAGATTTTGCAGTGACGTAGTGTCCCCATGAGTGACAGAACACTGAGCCAATCACGGCGCAACTAGAAAACATTACCAACCCCTACGCTCTGTATTTTCTGCTGGCTGCCCCACCACCACAGAAAGCACTGAGCTAGGCTGAAACACTTGCATTTTGGAGCAGCTTAACTCAAGAAAGCAAAAAAGAGACCATGTTTGTATGTGGCTTTATTAACTCAATATTGTTGTTTTTTACATTGTTTGCAAACTGATATGTGACACGTATTAATGCCAAAATAATATTTTTTGTTGTAATTTTTTTTTTTGTTAGCTAAACTGGCTCAAAATGAACAGGGGCCCTGAATGATGGGTCACCACTGCTTGTGGCTGAATGGAAGCAAGTCCCAGCAGCAATGTTCCAACATCTAGTGGAAAGCCTTTCCAGAAGAGTGGATATAGCAGCAAGCGGGGGACCAACTCCATATTAATGGCCATGATTTTGGAATGAGATGTATGACGAGCAGGTGTCCACATACTTTTGATTATGTAGTGTACTTCTGATGTACAAAACGCAAATCACTGTCGGTGTGATCACGGCATGGGCGCGTTTCCTTCTCCTGCAACACTCTCAGGAGGAATTGTAATGCACGACGTCTCGTCATCTAAAACACTTTTATTACACTGGTATTGTTTTGGCCCTTTTTGTTTTGTGTTGTTTTAGTATTGTGCTTTAGCTACATTGTTTTATTTTATGTTCCAATATTTAGTCCTCTTGATATACTGTAATGTGAGACATGATACGATATTTTGCTGAAAATGAAATTTAACAGCAACATTTGATGAATGGAATCTGCAACACGTTATTACGAAGAGGATGTTATTAATATCAAATAATAGTGACTATACCCATTTTAATACAAACCATCATGTGTTTACTTTTAAATTAAACCAGCACGTTTGTTCAAGCTACGTCTGAAATTATGACAAGTTATGGATTATGAAAGGTTGTGCTCTGGGACAATGTACAACGGCGTAATAAAACCACTATGACGGACTACAACAATCGACTAGTTGGTTAATTTGTTAGTTCGACAAATGTTTGCTGATAGTAGCTAGTTACCCCATAGGCGTGTAACATTCTTATTTGTCATCACAAAGGACATGATTTTAATAATACAGTCATTTTACTTTTTTTATATTTTCTTGTTAAATCATAATCTTATAGCAGATTCTTATATCACTATCAGTGATTCAATGGCGGATGATCAGTTGCTTCACAATACACTATCTACTGAGTCGTGGTCATGTGAAGGGGGATATATGCTTGATAATGATAAATGTCCAATCAATTGAATTTACCACAGGTGTACACCAATAAAGTTGTAGAAACAGGATGCACCTGAGCTGAATTTCGAGGCTCATAGCAAAGGGTCTGAATACTTATGTAAATAAGGTATTTCCGTTTTTTATATATATATTTTTGCAAGAAATTCTAAAAACCTGTTTTTGCTTTGCCATTATGGGGTATTGTGTGTAGATTGATGAGGATTTTTATTTATTTAATCCATTTTAGAATAAGGCTGTAATGTAAGAAAATGTGGAAAAAGTCAAGGGGTCTGAATACTTCCCGAATGCACTGTATATAGCCATTGACTCTTGAAGAATATAACTGAAATACCTCATGACCTTAGTTCTACGCTTGTTTTACAGCATTGTTTTTAAACAATGTAATTGTAAACAAACTATAGCTTCAAAACATGGTCAAAACTATAATGTTGAGCTCATAGATGGTCAGTCCTTGTATCAAAACTCTTGTCTTTGGATTTCAGTGGTTACATTTCTCCAACCCCATCCCTCAGCTGTTAACCAAAAGAAGTGGCGGGGTCTTTGTTGTTTGAATCCCAGATTGCCCTTTAAATATAAACATGATTTGGGTTGAAATTTGTGTGGTGTGATTGTGAAAGGAGTTTTAGATATAAATCCATCCATAAGCAAGCAGGCACAAAGTATTTTCAGGTCAGCAGGTTCATATTGTTGTGGGGGTGTATTCATTAGTGTACGCGGAAGCTAAACATTTTGCTACGAAAACAAGTTTTTCTTATTAGACAAGTTCAGGTTCGTGTTTCTGCACGCTTGGTTCCTAGTGAATGCACCCCTGGTTCGATTTTATAGGCCCCTGGTAAGTTACAAAAGTATACTGAACAAAAATATAAACGCAACATGCAACAATTTCAACGATTGTACTGAGTTACAAATCATATAATGAAATCTTGTCAATTGAAATAAATTCATTAGGCCCTAATCTATGGATTTCACATGACTGGGCATGGGCAGAGCCAGGCCCACCCACTGGGGAGCCAGGCCCAGCCAATCAGAATGAGCTTTTCCCCATAAAAGGGCTTTATTACAGACAGAAATACTCCTCAGTTTCATCAGCTGTCCGGGTGGCTGGTCTCAGATGATCCCACAGGTGAAGAAGCTGGATGTGGAGGTCCTGGGCTGGCGTGGTTACACGTGGTCTGCGGTTGTGAGGCCGGTTGGACGTACTGCTAAATTCTCTAAAACGACTTTGGAGGCGGCTTATAGTAGAGACATTAACATTACATTCTCTGGCAACAGCTCTGGTGGATATTCCTGCAGTCAGCATGCCAATTGCATGCTCCCTCAAAACTTGAGACATCTGTGGCATTGTGTTGTGTGACAAAACTGTACATTTTTGAGTGGCCTTTTATTGTCCCCAGCACAAGGTGCACCTATGTAATGATCATGCTGTTTAATCAGCTTCTTGATATGCCACACCTGTCTGGTGGATGGATTATTTTAGAAAGGAGAAATGTTCACTAACAGGGATGTAAACAAATGTGTGCCAAAAATCGTAGAGAAATAAGCTTTTTGTGCGTATGGAAAAATGTGGGGATCTTTTATTTCAGCTCATGAAACACGGGACCAACACTTTACATGTTGCCTTTATATTTTTGTTCAGTATATCATTAGTTGAGCATTCATATGTATTAAAACCTATACTGTAAATAGTTGTATTGTTTTGTACAACTGTACTTCTGAAAACTTGGTTTTAAAAGTGAGTCTATAATTAAATATTTTAAACCATGATCTTGATTGTTCACGCTGGTTTGAGTGTCCTTTCCAAACAAGGGTCGAGATAATTTATAATGTTATTTTGTGGGTATCCTAAAGATAGTATCCTTTTCTATAAACCCATATGTATGGCAAATATTGTCCTACTATATTGTAACAGGTCACATGTGGCTTAGTTGATAGAGCATGGTGCTTGCAATGTCAGGGTTGGTTGTGGGTTTGATTCCCACGGCGGACCAGTACGAAATAGTATGATAAATGTATACACTCTACTGTAAGTTGCTCTGGATAAGAGCGTCTGCTAAATTACTAAGATGTAGCCATCATCATATGACTGACAGGTGATGAGTTCCTTTTGTTGTGTCTGTAGTGTGTTCCCTTTGTGGAAGCCTACTGCCCTCTGCTGGATAGTTGGTGTACATACAGATCAAAGAAGTCAAGACAGCTCTGGCACTGGATGGTACATCCTTCTCAAAGTCCCCTTACACACACACAACACATGCTCCCACTAATAGTCATCTAAAATATAGATATATTTTAGAGTTTTTTAAGTTTATTAAAATATTTAGCAGAATTTCAGTTAATTATGTTCACAGCATATTACTTTTACAATGCACTCTAAATGGCATTTAAAAAGTGCATTATAAAACTATTGCATTATAAATCATGAATCCCAGTTCCACTCATGATGACCTCTCACCCCAGAGTAAACCACATTCATGTCTCTCTCTCTGGTCTGTCTCTCTGGTTCTGCTCTCCTCTTGGTCTTCCTCGAGGAGAAACTCATGGCAGCATAGTTCAGCTCCTCTCCCTCGTCTCTCTGTAGATGAGAATTAGTCAGATAGTCTACCTCACAAGGTAGAGTGCTGTGTACAGTTGAAAAATATGTGTGAAAGTGAGTTACAATACTAGGCTGCTAGTCATTTTCATTTAAATGATAAAATGCAATTTCATTGTGGAAATATATAATTTTGTTACTTACACAAGTTTTCACATCCTTTTCAGATGTTATGTTCTTTTTAGTGTGTTAAATTGTTAATAACATTTTAAGTAAACAGGTACCATAGTCTACCTCATTTTCAGGACAGGAAGGGGCTGTAACACTACTTTGCGGCTGTTGAGGCAAACCTGCTTGACAAAAATGAGTATTATTAAGACAGTGTTCATTTTGGGGACAGGATGTGCCAGTGCCACTGCCTTTCACCTCTATAAAAATGGCATTATAGCACAGAAGTTACACTTGGTGGATTTATTAAAGGCCCAGTGCAGTCAAAAATATGATTTTCCTGTGTTTTATATATACACTGAGTGTACAAAACATAAGGAACACTTGCTCTTTCCATGACATAGACTGACCAGGTGAATTCAGGCGAAAGATATTATCCCTTATTGATGTCACTTGTTAAATCCACTTCAATCAGTGTAGAAATTAAGAGGAGGAGACAGGTTAAAGAATGATTTTTAAGCCTTGAGACAATTGAGACATGGATTGTGTATGTGTGCCGTTCAGAGGGTGAATGGGCAAGACTAAATATTTAAGTACCTTTGAACAGGGTATGATAGTAGGTGTGTCAAGAATTGCAACGCTGCTGGGTTTTTCCTTGACACAACTGTGGGAAGCATTAGAGTCAACATGGGCCAGCATCCCTGTGGAACGCTTTCGACACATTGTATAGTCCATGCCCTGACGAATTGAGGACGTTCTGAGGGCAAAAGGGGGTGAAACTCAATATTAGGAAGGTGGTCCTAATATGTTGTGTACTCAGTGTATATTTCCACACAATGAGCTTGGAATAATACTTTGAAATTCAGAAAATTGTAACAATGCCTTTTTAGTGTAAGAGCTGTTTGAAAAGACTGCATGAAATGTCAGCCTATTTTGATGGGATGGAATTTTGGCCTGCCTCGTGACATCACCAAGCAGTAAATGAGGCAATAGATCAATAAGAGAGAGAGTTCCAAACCTCTCTGCCAATAACAGCACATTTTTGTTTCCCCCTCCCCACTCAGACCACTCTGACAGAAATTGCTCTTTGATAAAAAGCATTTTTTGTTTCTTATTTACCACAATCACAGTATGGTGCTGAATTGTTACCCAGAAATAATTGTATATTGAGATAAAAACCGCTAATTCATCCACACTCTTCCTTAAAACACCCCTCAATCACTTTTATGGTTGTTATTGCGGCAACATTTTACTGTAATGATCATCACATTGCATGCAATCATATTGGAAAAGTATGTGAATGATCACACAAAATGGCCGAAGCCATTTTAATAGAAACAAAGGGCCTTAATGATACAGAACCTTTCCTCCTTCTCATACAGATGAGGAGGACAACGATGGCCATCAAGCTCAAGATGTTGGACACGATTAAAGCCAGGAGCTTGGGGTCCACCAGATCAGCAGGGCTAGGACCTGTGGTTTAAAATAAGCTGTTGATATTCATTCTCAGTTAAACAGCTATATATGTTTCAATTGTAAGCTTAGCCTTAGACCCTTTTACAATTTAGAGTTGCATCAGCACATTTATTTTAGTTTGATTGCTCTTGAATTATGACAGATTCAAATCTAAATTCAGAGTTTAAAATCAAAATACCTCCAACATCCAGCTTGGTCCCTTTCCCAAACAGTATCTCCCCACACGAGGCCACAGCACAGTAGTAAGTCCCAGCATCAGAGAGGCTGAGGTTCCTCTTGGGGAGGTTGTAGACACAGTTCTGTGTAGGAGACCCAGCCTCAGGGTTCTTCTCACACTGATCACTCCTGTCTCCATGGGTGTAAATGATTCCTGGACGGGATTCTCCTGAGCCATGTCTGAACCAATATACACTGTGTTCTCCTGCACAGGTCTCAGTGTGTATTGTACAGTTCAGAGTCACAGAGTCTCCTGTCTGGACTGACTCAGACACAGGCTGCTGAGTAAGATGCTGGTTCCTGGAATCTGGACCTTTTACACAATAAAACCAAGGTTCTAATAAATGTTTGTTATATTACAATATAACCACATGATAGTCACATGATAAGAAATATACACTGAGTGTACAAAACATGCTTTTGCCATGACATAGACTGACCAGGTGAATCCAGGTGATAGCAATGACCCCTTATTGATTTCACCTGTTAAATCCATTCAATCAGTGTAGATGAAGGGGAGGAGACAGGTTAAAGAAGGATTTTTAAGCCTTGAGACATGGATTGTGTATGTGAGCCTTTCAGAGGGTGAATGGGCAAGACAAAATATTTAAGTGCCTTTGAATGGGGTATAGTAGTAGGTGCCAGGCACATCGGTTTGAGTGTGTCAAGAACTGCAACATTGCTGGGTTTTTCTTGGTCAACAGTTTCCCGTGTGTATCAAGAATGGTCCACCACCCAAAGGACATCCAGCCAACTTGACACAACTGTGGGAAGCATTGGAGTCAACATGGGCCAGCATCCCTGTGGAACGCTTTCGACACCTTGTATAGTCCATGCCCCGACGAATTGAGGCTCATCTGAGGGCAAAAGGGGGTGCGACTCAATATTAGGAAGATATTCCTAATGTTTTGTACACTCAGTATGTTACTTACCCCCATACATCAGAAACACACCCTTCCCGAAGTTCATGGCATCATAATCGCGTGCAGCACAGTAATACATCCCCATATCTGATGGTCTAGCATCTGAAATAGTCAGCACAAAACTGGTTCCACTCTTAGTTGCCGTAAACCGGGTGCTGTTGTTAAACTCTCCAAACAACTTTGCAGTGTTGGAGTGAGTGTAAACAGACAGCATCGTCACTGGGGCTCGTCCTATTATCATCTTGATCCAGATGTAGTAGTTGCCATCTTCTTCTGATATGAGGCATTCCAAATGAACTCTGTCTCCAGGCAGGAAAGTCTTTAAGACGTCACTCTGGCTGATCTTAGCAAGAGACCCTTAAAAATAATAAAACATTTACAACTTACTTTTTCTTACCAACTTTTTACAGGGTTTGTGTCTGCAATTTCGAATGAAAATTGAACCCTAACCTTATGCACTAACCAAGATCAGCCTTACCTGTTTTAAACATCAGTAAAAATATGAGAAATAGTTGGGTCATTGTATAATTCCTTCTCTGATGATAGCATCTCATGCGTAGACTAGTCTTCCTGTGTGTCAGATGAGAGTGAGAATCAGAGGGTTACGGGTGTCTTTTTATACTTGGCTTGGGTGATGGTCCACAGGGCTGATTGGCTGCTCTGTGAACTATAAAGACACGGAACAGGACAACTTTACCCTCCCCTCTGACTTTTTTCTGTCCTCATGTTACGCAACAACAGTTTCTATATTCTTCAGAAAAGCTATCGAGATATGAACACCATGTGGACCAAATGAAATATCCTTGTCCTCATTTCAGTTCTTGAATGTAGCATTAACATTATTCATACGAATGACAACTGCTTATGAATGCCTTCTCCAGTACTTTAAATCAAGAGTCTTGGACATTGTGGCAAATTATTTTCTATCAGACAGAAAGATTACTATTCATGCAGTTTTTTGTGATATTATATGGTTGAATGCATACATTGAGGAGTGTTTCCACAATTCCTTACATGATTTATCCTTCTATTGATCTCAAAATTACCAATATAGGCCCTCACCAACAGGGGGAATCTTGCTCTATGCTCCCTCAAATCTACTCTATAGCTTACACCTATAAGGATACTCCTTCATATTTATATACTCCCAATACTGTCTCCAGTTTTGCCATTTGTACCATACTATTTCATCTGCAAGATGAAAGTCATGACAACAACAGGTTGTGTTCTTTAAACATGTGGGATGAGTGTGGTTCAGCTCAGAGAGTTTGTGAAACTGTGTTGGAGACCTTGGTTCCATCTGAAAGGGAACCATATTCCCTACAGCAGGGTTCCCCATCTGGCTTTATTTGGCTCCCCAAGTATTCTGAGCAATACAAAAAATAAAAAATAATAAACATTGTGAGGAATTTTCATTGTTGGACAAAACATTGTAAGAAAACACCAGGAAATCAGCTCCAAGTGATTTTAATTTAAGAACTCTGTTCCCAAATATTCCCATGCATAAGAAAGGGACACAAAATGATTGTATACAAATGTAAGCAAGGTTTGAAATTATTATCTTTAAGTCAAACATTATATCTGTTTGGGCTTCTTGCGGTCAATTTGCAGTCTACAAATTATTTGTAATTATGTTCCGGTCCCCCCGACCATCCGCTCAAGAAAGAATTGTCCCGCGGCTGAATCTAGTTGATGATCCCTGCCCTACAGTACATTGTGCACTTCTTTTGACCAGGGCACATAGGGTGCTATTTTGGAAGCAAACTTGTCATTTGGTTGATGCTGTAGGTAGATAACGGTTTTAGAAAAAGTAAACTAAGCCTTGATAAGTGCATGGCCTTAATGCACCCTCCTATTCTACTAAACAATGATGACATGAAAACCATGGGCTGTAAGTGTAATATGCCATCAAACTGCCTTGGTAGCAAACAATATCACATAATGTCACAGGAAATATGAGGTGTGAACTCAAAAGTACCTAAGAAAGAAAAGGTTATGCCAAATGTGGGACGGCATGATGTCTGTTTGTTTAGGTGTTGAGTGGAAACTTCGGACCACAGAGATCTTTGTATGAGATATGGGTTGTTTTCCATCCCTGTTCACACCAGTGAGGTGACACTGACCACAGGTCGAGGATGTTGTGTCTGCAGCGAATGCATCAGATGAGAGTCTGCAGAGAGCATTGACACCTGCCTCTGTACACTCAACATTAGAGCAGTAGGTCTATTGTTTATGAATGCATTCACTGTGATTAAAGTAGACCTACAAGTGCTCAAGATCTCGAATATAACATATTTTATGGTCTTTTTGAACATAGCCTGCTAAATTATGGTTATTGTACTAAACAGAAGATGGCGGTGTGCAGGTGTCCCAAACCCCAGGTGTCCACGATACAGTATTATTGTACGTAATGCATTCAATTAAATCCAACTGTATTTAGATAACAACAGTAGATAAGTGTTTGTCTTTATTTGTACTCCTCCCACGTAGTCTAGAGCCTGGGGTAGTTTGGTTTTGGGTAGGTATTTATAGTCTGGCGGTATGGATGGAAAGAGATGTGAGGCCTGATTGGTGAGAAGAGAGTGTGGTTTAGATTGATAGAGAGAGAGAGAGAGAGAGAGAGAGAGAGAGAGAGAGAGAGAGAGGAGAGAGAGAGAGGAGAGAGAGAGAGAGAGAGAGAGAGAGAGAAGATGAGAGCTAGAGAGAGAATAGATAGCTAGAAGAAGAGGATAGTCTCTCGAAGAGACTCTCTCTCTATCTAGCTCGCGTATAGAGCTCTAGAGATCGATCTATCAGCTCTCTCTCTCTCTCTCCCTCTCTCTCTCTCTCTCTCTTCTCTCTCTCCCTTCATCTCTCTTCTCTCTGCTCTCTCTGTCTCGATCTCCCTTTCATCCTTTTGTGAAGCTCCTCCAGGTCAGTGTTCATGTGGTTCAGGTTGCTTGTCTTCAGCAGATAGAGAGAATGGAATATAACTAGGCCTAACAGTGACAATAGTATATACACAAACTACAAAAACATTTATTTTTGTATTTATTGATTATTTTCCCTTAAATATACAGTACAGTACCACAAGCATTATGAGTTTGGTTAAAATAGCCCCAGTTTGTTACAGTTTGTGTCCTAAATCTTATTTTAATCTTATTTACCCTGAATTTGATATTTACGCCCAGGGCTGTGTCATCTTTAATTTGATGAGATGGTGATATACTGGGAATCAATTTTATAGATGTTCTTAAAAAAAAAGGATTCCACTGTCACTCAGACAAATGTTATCATGAGAGGTTCAGTGTTGTTCACCTCAGCATAGGAGAATATCAATTGCATACTCCTCACGTCCTCTCTCCTCGCCTCCTTCTCAAAACCCATTGGATGAGAAAGCCAGAGGTCCATCCCCTGGTTTTCAAGGAATATGCAACTGAGATTCTCCCCAGGTCTTTCTCAACACTGAGCTGCTCCTTCCTGTCACCCACACTACAGGAAGTGATGCATTGCTCAATGGTCCCTCCTACTCTACCTCGGACCCCAACCATGATGGCTGTCACAAGGGGATTTTTGACTACTTGGAATAGGGGGACAGAGCACAACAACAACAATAGCTTTCACCTGGATTCACCTGGTCAGTCTATGTCATGGAAAGAGCAGGTGTTCCTAATGTTTTGTCTACTCAGTGTATTACGCTAGTTCTTCATCAGTGCTACACTGATATCAATATTAAAACATTTAGACACTATCTTGTGGCAGCGTACACAACATGCTCCATCTCCATCATTTGACCTTTAGCGGTCTTCTCATTCCTTGTCCTCTTCTGACAGAAACTCAACGCTGCGTAGTTTAGAGAGTCTGGTTCCTGACCCGTATCCTGTAGAAAACAAATAATAAGATTACACAAAACATGCAAATACTGTATCAAGAAAACAAACACTTCTAAAAGATAGCTTAATCCAAGTACTGTTATCTTTATGTCATGGACACAAATCAAGTAAATATAACAGTTTCTATTACCTGTCTATTTTGTGGTTGCAGCTGAGCCTCGATATCTGCATAAGGAAAGAGTCATTTAGGTCAGTACACAAACAGTTATTCAAACATTCATGTTACGTTGTGGATCTTTGATGTTATGGGGCTATTTTGCTTCCACTGGTCCTGGGATCCGTGTTAAGGTCAACGACATCATGAAATTTACCAAGTACCAGGACTATTTTTTGCCAAAAACCTGGTTGCCTGCCAGGAGGCTGAAACTTAGCAACAATTTCCAGCAAGACAATAATCCCAAACACTCATCATAATCCACAAAGAAATTGTTAATTCACCACAAAAATCTACATTTTGAGTCTCCGGACTTGAATACCATTGAAAACCTGTAGTTTGATTCGAAGAACGCAGTCCATAAGCACAGACAAAAGAAATCAAGGATCTGGAAAGATTGCTGGAGGAATGGTCTAAGATCCCTCCCAATGTGTTCTCCAATCTCATAAAACATTTTAGAGAAGGCTCAGTGTCGTTATCCTTGCATGGGGAGGGTGCTGGAGTATTGAAAACAGGGGTGTCAATCATTTTGAAACCTATCTTTTTGAGAAAAATAATATTACTTGTTACACAAAATCTCTTTCTCTGATCAATTGTGTTTGTATAAAATAATATAATTTTCACAGTATTTGAATGATTTGTTTTATACAATCTTCTTTGCTCATCGTTATCAAGGGTGACAATAATTGTGGAGGTGACTGTAAACGGCTTGTGGAAAACGCTTATGGTCCTCCACTGTACCTGTGTTAAGTCTGTTTGCATCTCGTCTGATCTTGAGGACCAGGATGAGGATGATTATCAGTAGAACAGCAGCTACAACACCCAGGATCACAACCAGTAGGAACAGGTTCATGGTTCCATCAACCTTTCCTAAGAAACAGATAGTTTCGTTACAATGTCCTATTAGATCAGGGGTGTCAAACATATGGCCGGATCTGGCCCGCAAGGTGATTCAATGTGGCCTGGGGTTTGAGTTTAAAAAGAAGAAAAAAAAGAAAACAACCTCAATGGACATTTAACCTACTGGGCAAAAACTGGTTGAATCAACATTGTTTCCACGTAATTTCAACCCAAAAATGCAAAGTGATGACGTTGAATCGACGTGGAAAACTGATTGGATTTGAAAAAAGTCAAACTTAAGGGAATTTAGTCTTTTTTTCACCCAACTTTCAACCTAAATCGAATGACATGGTGAAATGTTTAGTTGATTTCACGTTGAATTCACGTTAGTTGACACCTCAACCAAATGTAAATCTAGACTGAACTGATGTCTGTGCCAGTGGAAAATGACTAAAACTAAATCGAAACTGTCTTCGAAATGATAATGGATATACATTTATACAGTCTCTTCACTCTGGTCAGCTCACTAACTATCACCGAAATGAAAGCTAGACAGTCAGGGAGCATTGAAAATAAAAAAATATTATGGATAGAGGGCACATTTTGACAGCAAGGAAATATAATACATTTTCAGTGCTGCCCTCTGGACCTCAGTGAAAACAATATGTGGCCCCCGGGGGGAAATTAATTTGACACACTTTTAAATTAATTATAGATACCCATTGAGTCTTGAAGAATATAACTTATAAATGCCTCATGAGCTTAGTTCAAGTGTTGTAGCCCATCAGAAACCCAATTATAAGCTTGTTTTACTCCAATGTTTGTAAACATTCGAAATGTAAACAAACACTCTATATCCTCAAAAGATGGTTACAACTATAATTTGGATATTATGGATGGTCAGTCTTTGCATCCATAGCTCTGTCTATGAATTTGAGAGTGGTTACATTTCTCCAGCCCCGTCCCTCAGCTTTGTACCAAAACAGAGGCTTGTTATTGTTTCAATTTAGGACTCTAGCTTTAAATCAGTTTGTGATAATTTAATGACGGACCTAAATTAGCTGCATTTGTTAACAGTAAAAAAAAAAACATGAAAAGGAACTAACTTTCTTTAGATGACTCTGGTATTTCCTCACCTCTGTTGTACCCGGTAACAGCATGATTGGTAAATGCAATTGTCATTTCTGAGAGAGGAAAGACTACGGTCAGCAGTGGTTTGTCTGTAACAGGAAAGAGTAAGGGCTGCAACGCGGACTGGAACGACAGTTACAAGGAAAAGCGTCTGACGGCTGTGCCACAAAAACCCCGGCCTCTTAACAGTCAGACACCGGTTACACTTTCATTAACTCCTGATTAGATGAATACATATTTTTTAATGTTTCATCAAAATGCCTAACATACACTGAGTGTACAAAATATGATCAACACCTGCTCTTTCCATGACATAGACTGACAAGGTGAATCCATTTGAAAGCTATGGTCCCTTATTGATGTCACCTGTTAAACCTACTTCAATCAGTGTAGATGAAGAGGAGGAGACAAGTTAAAGAAGGAGTTTTAAGCCTTGAGATAATTGAGACATGGATTGTGTATGAATGCCATTCAGAGGGTGAATGGGCAAGACAAAAAATTTGTCTTTGAACGGGGTATGATAGTAGGTGCCAGGTGCACCGGTTTGTGTCAAGAATTGCAACGCTGCTGGGTTTTTCACGCTCAACAGTTTCCCGTGTGTATCAAGAACGGTCCACCACCCAAAGGACATCCAGCCAACTTGACACAACTGTGGAAAGCATTGGAGTCAACATGGGCCAGCATCCCTGTGGAATGCTTTTGACACATTGTAGAGTCCATGCCCCGAATAATTGAGGCTATTCTGAAGGCAAAAGGTGGCAGTGCAACTCAATATTAGGAAGGTATTCTTAATGTTTTGTACACTCAGTGTATATCAAAAGCCAGATAAATAGTTGAAAACGTACCTTGAACCTTTAGAAATGTTGCATTGACAAAGACCATGTAGCTTTGTGGAAACATTCCACAGAAATACAGGCCAGAGTCAGATGAATCCACATTTGTGATTTTGAGGAAGATGGTGGTGTTGTTGCTGTACATTTCCAAATGACTACTTTTAAAACCATCGTTGTGCCTAAATGTCGATGGATGTGAGCCGTGCATAGTCGAGATACACACAGGCTCTGATCCGTTGACTTGTTTGAACCAGGCTGCGTGTCCCACAACCGTTGAAACATTTGAGCACTGTAAGGTGATGGTATCCCCAGTACGCACCACTATAGTCCGAGACTGAGTTACCAAACCTGAAACACATAAGACCTAAGTTAATGATTGTAATAGTTTATATTACATGTACATTTCTTGACATGAGCACTAATGCATGCTGTGCTAAACATTCTGTTAAGATACATTCTTTGGAAATGTAGGTTCTATGACGGATGCATTAAATCGTTAACATGTATAGCCTACTTACTCAATCCATAGACCAGTAGAGCTGGTATATAGGTTCTCATCATTATGTGTGTAGATCAGTTCTGCTCTGTCTGGCTGTGAATCAGAGAATATCTCTTAATTCACTCTGAGATCAGACTGAGTCAAAGGGGATTTCATTGGTAGGGGGCGTTGTAGTTGGTATCGGACCACAATGTCTACAGAAAGCAGAAGTGATACTCCTACAGGTGTTTTAATGTGGAATGTAATAACAGAAGTATATGTATGTGAAATACATCAGCTCTGTTAAAAGTACACTCAAGAAAAACGATTTTATTTATCATAGTGATTGTGTAACATTAAAACAGAGTAAGTAATATGCCCCACCAACATTAGACAACTATGCAGAAAAAAATGAAATATTGCTTAAATAAGAACATCTAATCAATGATGGGAACAGTCAGATTAACTGATAATTGGCACACACATGGTGGTGTAGCAGGAGGATCGGCGTAGCCATGATCCAAGAAGTTGTGAGTTCAAATCCCAGGTGAGGACATGTTGAATAATAATGAATGAATGAATGAACATGCACAATGTACTGTACATGTTTCAAGCAGACCACCATAGTCCCTGTGCCCAAGAACGCCAAGGTAACCTGTCTAAATGGCTATCGACCTGTAGCACTCACATCTGTAGCCATGAAATGCTTTGAAAAACTGGTGATGGATCACATCAACAACATCATCCTGGACCCACTCAATTTGCATACTGCCTCAACAGATCCACAGATGATGAAATCTCTATTTCACTTTCCCACCTGGATAAAAGGAACACCTACGTGAGACTGCTGTTTATTGAATAGAGCTCAGAATTCAACACCATAGTGCCCTCCAAGCTCATCACTAAGCTAAGGACCCGACCGCAAGGCGCAACAGATTGTAGTGCGTACGGCCCAGTACATCACTGTGGCTGAGTTCCCTGCCATCCAGGACCTCTATACCAGGCTGTGACAGAGGAAAGACCTAAAAATGGTCAAAGACTCCAACCACCCAAGTCATAGACTGTGCTCTTTGCTACCGCACGGCAAGCGATACCGATGCACCAAGTCTGGAACCAACCGGACCCTGAACAGCTTCTACCCCAAGCCATAAGACTGCTAAATAGTTAGTTAAATACAGTAGTTAATCAAATAGCTACTCGGACTATCTACATTGCACTAACTTTTTTCACTCATCACATACGCTGCTGCTACTGTTTATTATCTGTCACTTTATTCCTAGTTATATGTACGTATCTTCCTCAATTACCTGGTACCCCTGCACCTCGACTCTGTACTGGTACCCCGCGTGTCATAACCCTGGCTCGGGGGACTCTTAAATGTTGAGCCAGGGTGTGGAATTTCTGTTACATTTTCTATGTTTTCGTTCTAGATCGTTTAGATCTATGTTGGCCAGGGTGGTTCCCAATCAGAGGCAGCTGTAGCTCGTTGTCTCTGATTGGGGACCATACTTAGGCAGCCTTTTGGCATGTTAGTTTTGTGGGATCTTGTTCCGTTAAGGTTTTGTGTATAACCCAGGACTTCACGTATCGTTTGGTTTATTGTTTTGGTTCGTGTGTGTACTAATAAAGAATGTACGTTTATCACGCTGCGCCTTGGTCCGCTTCAGTCAGCGACCGTGACACCGCGTATATAGCCAAGTTATCGTTACTCGTTATGTATCTATTATTACTTTTATTATTACGTGTTTCACTTTTCTATTATTTCTATATTTTCTTTCTCTCTACATTGTTGGGAAGGGCCCGTAAGTAAGTATTTCACTGTTAGTCCACACCTGTTGTTTACGGAGCATGTGACAAATAAAATGTGATATGAATAATTAGTTGAAACAACTACATTTGTCGTGTAAAAAAAAATACAACATATTCAATGCAAGGTTAGTGCTGCTGGTAATGCTTTATTTGGATAGTCCCTACAGCTGGTCTATAGATGTTCAACTAACTATCCACTAACCTTAACCCTAGCCAGGATGTGGCTACAGATACAAAGGTAGACAGGTTTTTTCAGAGACTGGCTTTTTAGCTAATGATCAACGCCTGCAGCTCTGTCTGGGTGTCAGAGTTACTAACCAATGTCAGGTCATCTCTGGCTCCAGACTTGTAGTTCCTGTCACCTCACACTGTGGTTGATGCTCGACATATTTCTAATGTCAGTTAGACCATGAAGAACAAACTGCAAGAAAGGGGCATACCTGACACCTATAAAGGACTTTTTTCTCACGTTTGAGTCAAACTCTGATACAGCAACATACTGCGGTTGAAGCCTATTCATGATGGACTTTGGAGAAAAAGGTAAATTAATGATGACTATTGTATTTCATTTAACTTGAAAATATGGTTAATTTATGTACAGCTAATTTAGGTACAGTGTAATCAGAAATAGATAAGAATGTTGTTCACTTTCTGATTATTTATGACGTTCATGTAACTTCAGAGTTCACTGTTTGAAATACGAATGGTACAGTCTCTCTACAGGTCTCAGACCCGCCAATCAGGCATGGGGACCATCACTCCTGATGTGTACGACAGCCAACCCCCTGTCTCTTACTCTTATCTGACAGACAAGACCACCAGTATACACATTGGAAGGACAATGATGAAACTCTGTCCTGCCATCTCTCTGTTATTCTGAGCAGGTAAAGCTGGGGGTAATAAGAGTGCAAACGTACTATTAAAGGGACAATCATGCTTACGTATTTAAGATTCAAATATATTTTGAACTATGATATGTGGATTCTTTATTAATATAAATATTTATCTTTCAGCTTTGTCACTTGCTGTTGTTGTCACTCAGTCTGATGTTTGGAACACCGTCACTCTTGGAGACACAGTTGATTTGGAATGCTTCATCACTGTGTCTGTCGATGATAGGACAAGCCCCAGATGTTATCTCTGTATGCTCACTGCAAATTTCTTTGGAGAGTTTGACAAAAAAGCTTATCTTTGCTACAAGGAAGAGTGGCACCAGTTGTGTGCTAACCATCTCCGATTCCAACATGGGGATGTATTACTGTGCTGCAATTGATTATGAACACATGATCTTCAGGAGTGGTGTTTTTCTGATGCATCAGGGTACGCATAAAGGTTTTTTATCTTCTCTTTTAGCACAGATATGTTGTATTTGGAAATTGTGCAAGTCATTGATAGTAACGTGATTTTATAGTCCTGGAGAAGGTGCAGATTCCAGAACCCAGCATGTTGTAGAGCAGCCTGTGTCTGAGTCAGTCCAGCCAGGAGACTCTGTGTCTCTGAACTGTACAATACACACTGAGACCTGTGCAGGAGAACACAGTGTCTATTGGTTCAGACATGGCTCAGGAGAATCCCATCCAGGAATCATTTACTCCCATGGAGACAGGAGTGATCAGTGTGAGAAGAGCCCTGAGGATGGGTCTCCTACACAGAGCTGTGTCTACAACCTCCCCAAGAGGAACCTCAGCCTCTCTGATGCTGGGACTTACTACTGTGCTGTGGCCTCATGTGGGGAGATACTGTTTGGGAACGGGACCAAACTGGATGTTGAAGGTAGCTTACATTTCCTAACCCAAATACTATTATTAGAAAGACATGAACATTACAGTTAATGATTGATTACACATTATCGACTGCTGCCCATAGCACCATAGTGGTGTGATACAGTATATTTAATTTCTTTCAGATGGTGATGTTGATCCATAGATGACAATCCTGGACCTTCTCTCCATCATAAGAACTGGAGTTCTCCTCTGCTGTCTGACCATCTTCATCATCATCTACCTCACCAGGAAATAGACAAAGTTAGGGCCAATATCAATAGCCTATATGTAGTATGTTACTTGCTTTCACCAAATCCCTGTGCATGCACTTATTGTATAAGCATGAATAAATAGCACTGTGAACATTGATACTGACTTAAGTTGTTCTGTATGAGTGAATGGGTCAGAGGTTTTCATGAAGGAAAATAGTTGACCAAACTATTTAGATGACACCCAATCTGAATCTGCACTTTGGACCCTTGTTGAATACTTTAGGTTATGGGAAAAGCTTTTAGCTTGTTTGTATTCTTCACATACTTGCCACATCTAACTGAACGACGGGGGTCTGGTGTTCATCATCCAGATGAACAGATAAAGAGAGGTATGAAAAGAGCGTGTGTGGTTTTGATGCATTGAGAAGTGTGGTGAGAGCTGAAGGCCAGTCTTCCTGTAGTGCAGGTTGTTTGTCTTCAGCAGAGAGAGAGTGACGCATGACAGGTCTACTGTCTCCATGTCACATTATTGTCAACCGCCCCTCAAATCACCCACGCACTTCTACTTACACATGTCACGTGGTGGAAAAGTGACCAGGTTCTTTTGAGCAGGCACATTCTTAGAAAATGAGGTGCTACTTGGAACCTAAAAGGGTTATTCAGCTGTCCCATATGAGCACCCTTTGCAGCACTATTTTTTGTCCAGGTAGAACATTTTCAACAAATAAAATGTGTTTGTTGGGCGGGCAGAGAGAGAGAGAGAGAGAGAGAGAGACCAGTGATGTTCACCTCAGCAGGTCTCACTCATCACTGAGCTGCTCCTCCCTGTCACTCACACCACAGGAAGTGATGCGTTCCTCACTGGCCCCTCCTCTACCTCAGACCCCAATCATATTCTCCTTATAAGGCAACTAGCTGCTTCTCAGAATAGGGGGCTGTGATCAGTGCAACAAGACAGGAAATACTAAGGGGCGAAAAACATAATGACAAACAACATTGTGGCAGTTTGGAATTAACTCTCTATCTTTATTAAGTAATCAATGTAATAAAATTTTCCAAAGCTGGGTACTTTGTCCTTTACGGCCAACTTATTAAAGAATAACCAAATCACTAATACACACAACAGAGATCTAAGCTAAGAGAGGTCAAAAAAGGCAACTACTCCTCTGTGGCCATTAAACAGTTGTGGCTTGAGTCTAACTCCCCCTCTCTAACCACTGAGCTGTGTGGCCTAACAGAGTGGAAGAGGGCTACAGTGGACCTGAAGTACAACGCACAGAAACTACAGATATATTTACTGATTTACATTTCAATGCATTTGTTTTAACTACACATACAATATAGAAGGACTTAAACTTGTATTCAAAGATATGGCAAGACACTTTCCCTCCTCTCCATCCTCCTCCACTTTGTCATCTTGTAGCAGCATACACTACATGGGGGTCCAGCTCCTCTCTTCTTCTCTCCCTCTTCTTTATCTTGGAGGTGAAATTCATGGCGGCAAAATGCAGTGCATCAGGATCTTGGTTCTGTAGATTTGGAAACACCATAACACACAATTATGATTTAGACTGTTTCTGAATTGCACATATTGTAGTGCGCAATATACAACTTTTACTGACTCTTTCAATTCTCAGTATACAATATTTCAGGGATAGGCAACCCTGTTTCTGGAGTGCCGCAGGTATTGCAGGATTTTGTTCCAACTAGGCACCACACCTGCCCAACTGAGCTAATTGATCAGTTCAGCGATTGCCTAAATTGAACACAACTGGTCTTCCAGGTCGGTTAAATCAAAAACATGAAGGGCCTGCGGCACTCCAGGACCAGGGTTGCCTACCCCTGCAGTATGTCATGAGAAACATTTTCACTATGTAAGTGTAGTTAATAGCCGGCCCCATGTGAAATGGGCTCCATACCTGTGTTTAGTCTGTTTGCATCTCGTCTGACCTTGAGGACCAGGATGAGGATGATTATCAATAGAACAGCAGTTACAAAACCAAGGATCACAACCTTTAGGAAGAGGTTCATTGTTCTATCTTCCTCTCCTACAAAACAGATTTCAATTAGAATCAGACCTATAAAAAATGAAAATAACCACATATATGAATTCCATTCTGTGTTTAGATCTACACTGCCAGAACATGAAGGAAGGACTGAATCTTCAAATAAGAGAGATGAAAGTCATTTGTGATTATGGTTGGGACATAGAATGACAACCATTGATGTATACAATGACCACAAATACAAATAATCGTATCACCAACTACTGATGTTCACTCTATCATTTAGTTTGATAGAGAATGATAAGATATTTTAGGTATAGAGGTTCCCAGAATTTTTTTTACTCAGAATTGATTAAATATATTTTAACAGACCACTTGGTCTGAAAAGTGTCTGGACGACAGTAAATATTCTAAATCCAAATCTGTTCTCACTGTGAGATTCTCCTCACGTTTGGGTGTATTTATTTTAGTGGGCGGAAGGACATCCTGGAGTGGCTAACTATTGGCTGGAATTGGTGGTGGTTTGCCAATAGGGGGCACTCTTTTGACTGCGTCAATAGATCACTGAATTTAGGAACTTTTGCGATTGGCAGGAGCAGAGGCTTGTAGTTCACCCATAGTATACCTGTAACGTATACGCCAGGAGTCAGAAGCAGTGCTTTTTGATGACGGATTGGAGAGAGCACGAGGCTATGATATCTGTAAAGTCCAGGTGT